TTCACTTGTATATATACAAAGGCACTTTAGAAAGTCCATGAGAAAACAGAATTAAAGTACATTTCGGTGCAAAAAAAAACATCGAACACAGCGAGCCACTCACCGAACGGCGGGAGGTCCTTCACGGGCACCTTCCTGCGAGATGGGTACAGGGACACGGCGGGGACCTGTAGGCCTGGGCTGGCTTTGTGCGGCGGCTGGGGCTGGGGTTGCGCTTTCTGCTGCAAGGCTGCCCGCGGAGCCACCGGCGAGGTCTCAGACTTGGCAGGCTTCTTGTCGCCAGGGTTCTTAGGCACTGAGGTTGGTGGGTTCAAAACGGAACAGAGAGCAGCGTCACTCCAGAGCTGCAGCACCGTCTGGTCAGCTGAGTCGACACCTCCCTCGTGCTCCATGGGGGTCCAGCCGGGGAGCCCTCCAGCACACGGGGAGGGGCAGGACAGTGGTGCTGACGAGCCACCGAGGACCCCACATCATAGACAGGGACAGCGGGGTCAGGCAACAGCACAGCAGGAAGCCGTGAGGCCGCAGGCTGGCCTGCGGGAAGGTGCCGGGCCGCGTCCCGCGCCCTCCCTGCATATTCTGGGCACAAGTCTGCCAGATCTGGGCTGGGGAGGTCGCGGGGGGCTGTGGTGTGGAGACCCAGGTGGAGATGCTGTGGCTCAAGGAACAAAAGAAAACACACCCTTTCACAGTAACTGCATAGGAGCAGCAGGGTACCAGCTACACGCGTGCACACGGAGGCACAGAGGCCGTCAGAAGTGCTTCCCCAGGATGGCATCCCAGGTCTCGGCCACGGGACCCACGGCTGCGGAAATGAACCAGGAACTGTGGCCTGCTCGGGGCCGGGCTCTCGGGTAAAGGTTACCGCAGACGAGGGCAGAGGCCCTGAGGGGACGGCCACGGCTGGTGACACGCCCCAGCACTCCGGCCAGGAGCAGAGGGCCAGGGAGCTCGCATAGCCCCAAGGCCGCCCACGGACGCTGCCTCTCCCCTGCCGCGGGGTCGTCCTGGTACAGCATGGAGCCCAGCCCTCCAGTGCCCTGCCACACCACCGTGCAGACCGCATCTTCCTCCCTGCCCTCAGGAGACCCACATGCCCTAAGGGACGTGCTGGCACCGTATCCACGGGGGCTGAAAGTGCCACCCACATCCAGCAGGGCGGGTGTTCAAGGCTGGGAAACTGCATGTGGGTGAAGGTTCACCCCGCGGAGCTCTCGCTTGAGAGGGGAGCCAGGCCTGTTCCCAGGCGCTGCCCAGTAGGGGTCTGGGGGTTGCTGAGACACCCGGACCTGTGCTTCTGACCTGCGACCCGATCCCACGGGGACACGAACAAGGCGGGGAGGGAACAAGGCAAACAGGAGCTGCCCTGCCACGCCCTGCCACGCCCTGCCACGTGTGCTCCGCAGGAGCACAGAATGAGACGGAGCAAGGGCTACTAAGTGGGGCCTGGGTCATGTCCTGCTACCCGGGGTGGACACAGGCCCGGCCACACTCTGCGTCTCAGGGCTCTAAGGCCCCACGCACAAAGCCCTCCTGTCACCCCACGCGCTGCACGGGGCCAGGCGTGCGTCCTGCCAGGACCAGCGCTGCAGACACTCACGAGTGTTGGTGGCGGGCTCACACTGCAGCGACAGTGTCTGCAGACTCTCCTCGTCCATCTCCAGCTCCAGATTGGACAGGTACTGCTTCACCTTCCGCGCCATCTGCGCGTCTTCATAAAGCTTTTTGGCATTGAGGAAGGAGCTGCGACGCACACGCTTCTTGTGCCCGCCGGTCTGCGCGACATCCAGCACGGCCGCATTGCTGCTGCCCTGGCTGAGGGACCTGGAGAGGCGAGGGCAGGGATGCAGGCCGCGCCACAACGGGCACCCCGCCCTCCGCCACCAGGACCTAGGGCCGGTGTCCGCTCGGAGGTTGGTGGAGGCCAGCGCCTCCCCAGGGACGTTAAACGGGTGAGGACAACAGACCCACGGACTCCCTGTACGAGGATCAGGTGCGACGCAGGGCCACTCTGTGCATCCGACCCGGTGCCGTGCTAACAGGAGGGACCCCGACCCCCTCTCCAGGGCACTCAGACACTCCTGTGCACATCCGACCCGGTGCCGTGCTAACAGGAGGGCCCCCGTCCCCCTCTCCAGGGCACTCAGACACTCCTGTCCTGCCACAGAAGCCAGCGAGCAACGCTCCACCTAAACGCTCGTGCAGGAGCACGCGGCTCTCACCCCCTAGGCCGCAGCATCTAGTCCACTTCTCCTAAAGAGGGTTTTACGCAGCTTAAATAAAACTAGCTACAGTGTTCACAACTGTCTCCTCATGCCTCGGGCTGTGTGGTGAGTTTTTAAAGTAGGTCAGTCTGTTAATAAAATCGTCATGCAAATGTAAACACATATGGATGGAAACTACTTAGCACATGAATTGTTAAGGATTATTTTTTTAAAGGATTGGTTTATATAGAATGAAAATAGTAGTTAGTTGAGCTGTAAAAAAATTTGGTTTTAACACCTGGGGGCACGTTTTCTATCACCCGCATTTACTTCTCCAATACTGTGCGCTGGTGGTGTGAACCGCACACGCTTTCCTCTAAGAGCCTCCCCCACCCCTTCCAGCCGTGCCCACCTCAAGACACGACACTATCTAAGCAGAACCTTCCCGCGAGCTCAGACGCGTGCTGGCCTAACACTCCCGGAGCTACCGCCTCATAGCTTTTGGGGGTCGGGACTTCAAAAGCCCCAACAGCTTACACTGGAAGTCAGTTTGCCACCTGCGAGGGTAAAGGAAAAGCGCGGAGACGCAAAGCTTTGGAAGGTACAGCGGCAGGAGACAGCGCACGGAGCCGGGGCTGCGTGGGGGTGTGCGGGTCTCACCACTTACCCCAAGCTCCGCCATTTCTTCTTCCTGTGAGTGAGAGCCGTGGAGGTTGAAGCATGGGTGTAGAGAGACAGAGATCACAGCTCAGAAAGAAAGGCCAGACTCCCGGGTAAGCAGTGCTCGGAGCCCTCCGCCAACCCCGCCTCGTCACCACCCACACGCCACCTGGCCAGGAGAGTGTTCTGGCTCAGAAGACACACACGTGTAAATTCTTCGTTGCCCAAGAAGGCTGCCGAGTCACGCTGTCTACACGGACAGCCCAGCCCACTGTGCACAACCAACACAACGCGTGTGGGTCATTCCCACGTTCCCTTTCACACTCGCAGGCACGAGCCTAGCTCCACACCCACGTTGCCGAGACGGGGTCCAGCGGAATGACCGACGGGTGTGGCCTGAAGGACAGACGCGCTCACTGGCGGGACGCACAGGGTCCTTCGTGTGCTCCCAGCT